CATTTGCTTCAACTTCTTTTTTATACTCATCGCTATCCATATATGTCTTCAGGGCTTTTTGTTTTATCTCTTCATCTTTCAGTATTTTATATTGAGTAGTATGGTTTTTCAAATTTATAACATCTTGTTCCATTTTTGCTACTTCTGCTGCTTTTTCTGACACTTTTTTCGCATATTCCTCTGTACTTAGTTCTTTCAGTTGTTCTTCTTTCTTCTTTTTCTCTACGTTTAACTCATTGAGTTTCTTTGTGTGTCTGTCATATTCTAGTTTCTTTTCGTTTTCACTTATTTGCTTCTGTATGTCTATGTTTGACTTTTTGACATCTGTTATTTGATTTTTGAGTGAACTCAAATTCATTTGACTTTGAGGGTTATATGCTGTTCCGTCTGCAGCTCCACCATAGCCTGCCATTTTCGCTAAAAGTGCCGCTCTTAAACCTCCACTCTGTGCACCAACAACTCGGTTTAAAAGCATAGGATTGCTTGACATTTGTTGCAACATAGTGGGGTCATTCAGCATTTGTTGTTGCAACTGTTGTTGTGGTGTTAGTTTTACTATTGGATGTTTCAATGCTCTCTTCCTCTTACGTATATTCTTACGTAGCTTACGTGGCATTTTAAGTGAAGTTAAAAAGCGGCTTTTGACAGATGTTTTATTGTGACTTCTTCGTAAAGACTTTGTTGAGATTTCTTCGTAAATGAGTGTAAATGACCCAAAAATATATTTTAGGGTAGAAGGGTAGATTTCACCTGTTTTCTACCCTCTTTTCTACCCTCTTGAATTTTCATGAAATTTACACCAAAAATATATTTTAGGTGAAGAGGTGAGATTTCACCTCTTTTTTCACCTCATTTCTCACCTCTTGAATTTTCATGAATTTCTTCGTAAAGACTTTGTTAAGACTTCTTCATCTAATTTCTCATGAACTTTCTTGTCTATGTTTTGTCAAGATTTCATCGTAAAGACTTTGTTGAGATTTCTTCGTAAATGACCCTAGTAGTATATTTTTGGTGTAAATTTCATGAAAATTCAAGAGGGTAGAAAAGAGGGTAGAAAACAGGTGAAATCTACCCTTCTACCCTAAAATATATTTTTGGTGTAAATTTCATGAAAATTCAAGAGGGTGAAAAATTAGGTGAAAAAACAGGTGAAATCTCACCTCTTCACCTAAAATATATTTTTGGGTCATTTACACTCATTTACGAAGAAATCTCAACAAAGTCTTTACGAAGAAGTCTTGACAAAACATTTACGAAGAAGTCTTGACAAAACATTTACGAAGAAGTCTTGACAAAACATTTACGAAGAAGTCTTGACAAAACATTTACGAAGAAGTCTTGACAAAACATTTACGAAGAAGTCTTGACAAAACATTTACGAAGAAGTCTTGACAAAGTCTTTACGATGAAATCTTGACAAAGTCTTTACGATGAAATTCATGAAAATTCAAGAGGTGAAAAATGAGGTGAAAAAACAGGTGAAATCTCACCTCTTCACCTAAAATATATTTTTATTGAATTCTGTATAATATTCTGAGTAATATGACAGATGTTTATATAACACTTTCTCCGGTTTATAGGACCTCTCTCATATTCTATCTTGTCATATCAAAACTCATAGTCATGTTTGTCCTCTAAGACTTCATTTATACTAAACATCTTCGGGGCTAGAAGGCACGAAGTGCCTGGAAGCCCCACTACCTTTTTTTTTTTTTTTTTTTTTTTTTTTTTTTTTTTTTCGGTAGTGTTTACTAATAGATGAATAGTATATAAATTCTATTAAAATGGATTTGATCCAAAAAAATATATAAAATTTGATCATAAATAAAATCGTTTTAAATTACTTCTTCATTTAAATTATAACAATTATTTTTTTTATATTTTTTTGGATCAAATCCATTTTAATAGAATTTATATACTATTCATCTATTAGTAAACACTACCGTATATTATTTTTTAAGCTATCTTATTTTTTGAACTTTTATTCAAATCTTTGGTCGCAAGAAGAATTGCATGATAAATAAAAACATTTAATCAAAGTCAATTTTATTTTTCATATTCAAATGGACTGAGTGTTAACATTTAACATTTTTTGCTAATTGTCGTCAAAAATTAGGCGTAAAGCAAAAATTAATATTTCATATGGTTTTATGATAGATAAGCATTATATTCCCACTCATTATATTCGTAAATTTTGAGGTTTATCATTCGCTTTTAAGATCATTGAATTTGATTTTTATATAAAATAGTTATATATTAGAAAATAATATGAGTTTATGTGATATTATTTTTCAGAAGATTTTGTGTTCTTCTTCAAAATTTTATTTTTTTATTAAAAAGAATCTTTACAAAATATACATTTACTTTAATTAATATTTAAAAACGTGCTCTATCAAAAGTTCCAAAAATTCAATATTTTAGCTTTTCTGAGGTGTCACTTTTGATGAATTTCTGTTTACAACACATATAATCTACAATAATCATATTTGTTACAGTAAAAATTAGGGCTGTACAAAATCGAGAAAAACATTGCCGTGTGGTAATATAGGGTCAAAAAAATCGCGCCTCGGCGGCTCCGCCGCCTCGGCACTATTAAGTGCGCATTATATTTAATATGTCCTTCTTTTTTTTTCTTTTTTCTTCTTCTTCTTTTCCTTTCCTTCTTCCTCTCCTTCCTCTTCTTTCCTTCTCCTTCTCTTTTTACAACAACGTCGAAGATCTTCGAATTTGATTGTTGGAAAAGCATCTATTTCAGATAAAGGATGCCTTTCTCACAGTCAACATACGAGGGTCCTGGCTGAAACGTTCTCAAAAAGCCTGAGATGGTAATTCTCTGATCACTCATAGCTGGGCAGGTAGTCATTGCTGACAATACCTGTCTTTATGCATGCACGCTTTCATGTATATGGGTTTACACTATCAATTCGCAAAGTTGTTCCGAATTCTTCCAAAATGGAAGGACCCGAAACAACTTTGCTTGTTAACGATACAGACGCATTACTTTGCATTGATACTGTGCTGAGTTGTGTAGAAAGTTTGATTAGAGTTGTTTTGTTCTGGTATCTCTCATCTTCTGATGAGAGAAATCAAAGCAAAACAACTCTAATGAATTTGTTTTCACTCATTTGTATGTAGGTTTTTAGTTCGATTGGAGCTGCTTCATAATGAGATCTCTCATCAATTGATGAGGGAGATCATAACAAAGCAGCTCTAATGTATATGCTCGTATTAACCGGGTTGTAATGCGTTGTAACGTCAGCTTGTTGTTCGTTTGGGGCCACTTCACATTGAGATGAGAAGAAATGATTAAAGGACTCTGAAAGGCTTTGGCCGTTGATGTTGTAATCGCATTACTTGGAACTAGCTGGATGCTAAGCTGTGTAGAATGTTCGATTAGAGCTGTTTTGATATGATTTTTCTCATCATAAGATTGGAGGAATCATAGCAAAACAACTCTAATGGGTTTACCATCATCTACTTGTATGTAGATGTTTGGGAAATTGTCTTGTTAATCGATTTTCGAGATGACTTTCAAATGCTATAATCAAATGCCGAAAAAATATAAAACCAAAAATAATTGTTATAATTTAAATGAAGAAGTAATTTAAAACGATTTTATTTATGATCAAGTTTTATATATTTTTTTGGATCAAATCCATTTTAATAGAATTTATATACTATTCATCTATTAGTAAACACTACCGTATATTATTTTTTAAGCTATCTTATTTTTTGAACTTTTATTCAAATCTTTGGTCGCAAGAAGAATTGCATGATAAATAAAAACATTTAATCAAAGTCAATTTTATTTTTCATATTCAAATGGACTGAGTGTTAACATTTAACATTTTTTGCTAATTGTCGTCAAAAATTAGGCGTAAAGCAAAAATTAATATTTCATATGGTTTTATGATAGATAAGCATTATATTCCCACTCATTATATTCGTAAATTTTGAGGTTTATCATTCGCTTTTAAGATCATTGAATTTGATTTTTATATAAAATAGTTATATATTAGAAAATAATATGAGTTTATGTGATATTATTTTTCAGAAGATTTTGTGTTCTTCTTCAAAATTTTATTTTTTTATTAAAAAGAATCTTTACAAAATATACATTTACTTTAATTAATATTTAAAAACGTGCTCTATCAAAAGTTCCAAAAATTCAATATTTTAGCTTTTCTGAGGTGTCACTTTTGATGAATTTCTGTTTACAACATAACATAATTAATCAAATAATAATTGGAAGTTCTGAACTCACTTTTTCCGTAATTCAAAATCAAAAATATGAATAATATATCTATTTATTATATACTAATGCTATTTTCAACTAGAAGTGAGGTACGGGAATCCGTAAGATTCCCGTAACTCAATTTTACGGAAAAAGTGCAGTAAACTACTCAATTTACGGGAAAAGTGTCGTAAACTATTGATGTGGCGGTAAAATCACGGTAATTCACGGAAAGCTATATGCGAAAATTTGAAATTATACAAAATCGAGCGAAACACTTTTAAATAGGTTGTTCTCGTATTTCAAATACTATTCCCAGATTTATTGTCGTCAGAATATTTCCAAATTTTTGCCGATTTACAAAAAATGATTTACAAAGCATATTTTTTAATCTAAAAAATTCCTAAAAAAAGGAACCGGTGTGCGGAAACCTCGGTAAATTACCGCGGTTCCCGTTGGGACTGCCATAGTAAAAATCCTATAAAATAAATTTTTAAATCAATATTGAGGATTTCGTATTCTGAAATTTTCAAAAACCAATAATGAATATCAAAATTAATTAAAACAATACATAAAGATCCATAATTTATCTTCTTGACATGGGTATCAGTCATTTTAATCTTCATCAAATTGATTACATTTATGCGGAAAAATAACTTTAAATACATAGTATAGTATAATGATAACATAAATGCAACAAATTAGAAATAAGTTTACAATTGATGAAATAACGTACTCAATCACTTTTCGGCGTCGAAAGGCGAAAATGGAAGATAACGAACCAATCAACCTTTATGATCAGTTGGAAAGTTGGGCAAATCAAGAAAACAGAGACCTTCATGCAGAAATTCAGAAAGACTCGTCAGAGCTCCAAGGAGTTAAAGCCGAATGCCAAGAATTAAACGAGCGTGTAAACATTCTTCGTGAACACCTCAAAAACGTTCAAGCAGAAGTTACCAAAACACAAGAACTCCTTACAGCTAAAAATTCTCAAGTTGAAGAAGAAAAACATCTTACACAACTTGTTTTACGAGAAAAAGGCAGAATTGCTTCAGAAATCGCAAAGATAGAAGAAAAGAGAAATGATATTCGCTCAAAATGGGAAAATGTACAAAGTAAAACGTTCCAATCAGAAAAACGAATGCAAACATTCAGAGACGAGTACAAGTTGAATCAGCAAGAACTTGAACAATGGATAACTATCGCCAGACAGAAAGAAGAAGATTTTATTGTTCTTCAACGTTATCAAACAAAAGATGAGTCAAAGATTCGCGAAATGTTACTTGAAATCGAGAAATCTACAGGTATTGTCGAAGCAAAGCGTTTGGAGCTCGAACAAGAAGTTACAGCAACAAGAGCTTTGCAAATCCAATTAGATATGACTGCAGAACAATTTAGACAGCTCCACGATGACCGTACACAGCTTCTTTCTCAATGGGAAGCAACCATGAAGCAGTTAAATAACCTTCATAGCAGAATTGGAATGAATAACCAATCTATCAAAGAAAGAGAAGTCGAAGTCGATCGTCTTCACCAGGAAGTTGCAGAAGAGAAGAAGAACCTCGACGCCGCTCAAACAGAAAACCAAAGTATCGAGCGCCAGTTGACAATTGGAGATCATAAGGTTTCACAACAGCACAAACAGTACGAAAAGGACTCAACCGAGCTTGCCGAATTTATTAAGACCGTTGAGACCCAGTGCCATCAGCTAGAAAAGCTTGAAAGCGATGAAGCATTTTATCGTGGTGAAATCCAAGACTTCAAAGACAAAACAGCCCAAGAGATCGCGAAGAGAGAAGAATATCTCAAGCGTCTGAAGCTCACAGAACAAGCATTGGCCACTCAATCAGATGCAACTAAGGATTTCAATCAACAATCCGAAATTTTGACATCATATCTTAAAGAACAGACAGTCAATCTCAAGAAGATCGACGCAGAAATCGCCGCCGGCAAAGATTCGATTTTCAAATTATCCCAAGATGTCTCCGAAGTTAAAAAGAAGCAGAAAGACTTATTGGCGGAGATGGAAGGTTCACAAACACGTGCAAAGAACCTCCAATTGAAGATCCAAGAGTTCGATCGCGAGACTCAGAAGCAAATGGAATTATTATACAACTCAAACTTCCAGATCCAACAAATGGAACGAAAGATCGCAAGAATCGAAGGCGAACGTACAGAAGAAGAGAAGATGGAACTTCAAGCACAGATCGAACAACTCACAGACACATTAACGAAGAAGCAAGAGATCGAAAAGACACTTTCATTGCAGTTACACCGATTAGAATTAGATTTGCGCCAGACAGCACGAAAGAAAGAGAGTTTGAAAGAATCGAATCAACAATTGGAAGTTAAATTGAACGAGATCCGGTTAGATCAAGATTCACTTGACAAGAGCACCGTTAAATCACGCTCACAGAAAGAAGAAGTTCTTGTTCAATTGAACATGTTGCGTTTGCAAGTTGAGAAACTTACTGAACAAGTTAACATGAAGAGTGATGAACTCATCAGTCTCGAGAACCGTCGTCAACAACTTCAGTTGAGTATGGAAGAACGTGTTCTTGAGATCGATGCCCACATTGCTGCATTACGAACACAGTTGAAGACAGAAGAAGAAGCACGTCATTTAGCCGGTATCGAATTGAAAGAACGTCAAAAACGTGCAGAAACATTAGAAGCTAAATACCAAGTCATGATGGGCAAATACCAAGTCGAAGGCGAAGAAGTCAGTCAATCATATCATGTCATCAAATTCGCAAAAGAACGTGAAGAAGTTTCACGTCGTGGTGATGAATTAGATGCATTGATTCGTAAGAAGACGAAAGAACTTCAACAACTTGAGAAAGCAATGAACAAACTTAATGCACATAACACCGATTTCCGTAAAGCATTCACAAGTGTCACAGAGTCGGACAATGACATGGAACGCAAGAAAGTCTTAGAAGAACAAGTTCGTGTTGCACAACAACGTTTGAATGCACGTCGTGCACAAGCAAACTCTATTGCACAAGAGAAGAAAGAACGCGAGAAGACATCACAAGAACAAGAAGCTGTTATCGAGAAAATGAAGAACAACATCATGAAACTTAAGCCATCACTCGACCGCGCAGTTGCTGACAACACGGAACTTAAAGAGAAGATCAAACGTGTTCAGAAAGTTATCCAGAAAGCACGCGAAAAACACCGTACTGAGTTGAATGTTCCTACCACAGCCAAATATCCAGAAACACTTCTTGAAATGGATATCGAACTTCGCATGGAGAAAGCTAATGTTGAACTCTCATTAGTTGAATTGAATCGCCTTGCAGAATCTAATTCAGAAGTTTTGTCTAAACTTCGATTAGGTTTGACACAGATGGGTATTCCACTTAACTCACTTCCAGCACTTCAATCGAACAACGAAGTTCCTTCTATCATTCCTAAAGGTGCACGAATCATCAAACCAGACACAGGCTCCGGTTCACGAACACCATCAAGTAATGGTTCTCGTTTATCTAGCTACCGAAGTTCAGGCACCCCAAGTGTTCGAAGTGGCGCAGGTTCAGCATTATCATCTGCAGGTTCACATCGATCTGTTGGCAGTCTGAAACAAGTCAAACTCGGATAACTTACTTATATTTGTTATTCTATTCTATTTTCTTTTTATATTTGATATATATTTTTTATATTCTTTTTCTTTTAATGTGAATTTTTTTTATAAATCAAAAAGTTTTTGAAATTTTGACTGTAATTTTTTTATTTATATCTAACATGTTATTAGTGTAAAGCAATCATGATCTTCTGATATTTTAACAATTAAAGTTGCTAAAGGGACTATGAATTCTAATATCACTTTCACTTGTCATGCCATATCTTTCTATATGAATTTGAATTTACAAAGGATCTCATCAAAAAGAAAATTGAACAGAAATTATGAGAAAAAAACAATACAAATGAATCAGAATATGACGATTACTGACTCAACTTAATTGAGATAGCAAATGATGCACAAATAGAAGTGAATATACAAAAACACATTCTACTCGCAATAAAAAAAGTGAATGCTGAAAATTTGTGTTAGAGTTTAATAAATCCTTTTTTATGTGACCCGAGACGTAAATTTTTTTAAACATAAAGGAAGTTAATAATTATCTACAAATTCATGTCTATAGATTTAAAGATATCAAATCTATTAATTCTTTTTTAACATTTAAATTTGGAGTAACTAGATTTTTTGCATGCTGAAGGCAGCTTTCACTACCGCCAGGAAATTCACTTATTTTTGCGCCATGTTGTATTAAGTAAATTGCAATATTTGGTAAATTCGACATTATAGCCGTGGCAAGAGGTGTCATTCCTTCTTTTGATTTTTTATTTGGATCTGCTCCATAATCAAGTAGTAGCTTCACTAAGTACAATTTTTTCAAACTATAATAAGAATTGAGAATACATTCACCTTCATCATTTTGAATATTTGGATCAATTCCGAACTCAAGGAGTGCTTGTATTGCATTTGGATTTTCAGTATGAAATAGTAGAGTTTCACCATTACTATCCTTTTGATTGATATTAAAACCAACTCTGATGAAGAATTCAGTAAATTTCTTATACTCCGCAACAGAATAGAGATTTGAATAATTTAGGAATCCACGAAGATTATCTCCACATTTTAGAAAGGAAAAATCGAAACCGCTCTCTAGCATATGCTCATACTTGTCCAAACACCTTGTGGAAAAATCGAATTGATTGTAGAAAATTTGGAACTTAGCATTATCATCCATTACATCGAAGCTCTCTTTAAAATATGGATAACTGAATAATTCAGATGATGAAAGAAAGGTCCTACGACATAGAAATTCACATGGAAATAGGCCATTCTTAATCTTCCCTGCTTGTCTTATCCTTTCAAATATAATTCGATTGAGTTCCTTGTTTTGATCATCCTTTTCATTGTAATTTCTGATTAGCTTGTAAATGATATGCTGGGCATCGAGTGATTCAAAATCTTCAATAAAGTCAATGAATTTACAATTTGTGAATCTGTTATCAGTTAAAGCGTCCTCGATTATATAATTTTTCAATTTACAACCCTTAGGAAGTCTGAATCCGCTATTGAAAAGAAGAGTAAACTGCTTACTATCCATGCAAAAAATGAGAGGGTTATTTTGATTGCTAGTTAAAAATCCTTTCGTATCGCAAATTTCCTTCAGAGGGCCATTGCTAGTTAAATATAGGGTGTCCAAAGGTGTGTTTAGCACAAACCTGAATACTGCGAATAGAAATAAACAAGTTACATATATATAAAGTTTATTTAAATATAATCACCATTGGATTCAATCACGCGTTCGCAGCGATCGATCCAGGCTTGAAAGACACGCTTTAAATCATCATGAGAAAATTGCTCAAATTGCTCTCTTACAAAATTTTCAAGATCATCTGGACTCGCGAATTCGCGTCCTTCAGCTCTCTTTTTTAGCGTGCCGAATAAATAAAAGTCAGAGGGTGCAATATCAGGTGAATAAATTGGGTTTGGAACAACTTTGACATTGTTTTCCACCAAGTAATTCATTACCTTATGACTTTTGTGAACTCTTGAATTATCAAAATGAATTGCAAACTTTTGTTTTTGTTGTTTGGATTTCTCAAACTCATCAGAATTGATAATTTGAGTAAGAACATTGTCAATTAGATACTGAGCATTCATCGTATTAGGTTTTTGAAGAATATCAATTGCGATGATGCCATTCACGCCCCAAAAAACCGACAACATCATCATTGGTGTGTCAATTTTTTTCTTCGGGAATGTTTGCGGATTTTCATCCTTCAGGATCCACATGATTTTGACTTCTGTTGCATATTGAAACCAAGACTCGTCCCCTGTTACTAAAAAGCGAAACTTCTTGGATTGATACGCACCCAATATAGAGAGGAGCTTTTTCGAAGATTGGACTCTAGATTTTTTTTGAACTGAATTAAGGTTGTGCGAGTTAGTATGGTTATCTTGGGTATGGTGGCACTACGCTCCACCCCACCCAAGATAACGGTTTGACACTTTACAAAACCGCTAACGTATATTTTACAACACAAACACAAACACTAACTTAACCTTAAACATTTACAAAGCCACCAACCACTTCACCTCACTAACGTTTTCGCTAACGACTTCACTAATGAAAAAATAAACGTTCCCACTAATGTTCTCATTTACAAAAGTATTGCAGCGCTTCCATTGCTGTGCTTCACATAACAGCTCATAATCTTCTGACTCACTTTCTTCTTCATATAGGTCAAAATCACTGTCATAGTTTATACCTGTAAGTTTTGACAAAGCTAATGAAACACGCTTACCGTTTGTATCTATTGCTTTTATATATCTCCCATTATGTTTGTTGTCGTAAACGCTCAAACTAACTTTACCCTTTCTCCCTCGTATCTGATAGAATGTATTTTCACGAGGAACAAAGAACAAATTCTTGAACTCATGACCGTTGTAGTTTGTTATCTCAATAGTTTTCGTCATTTACATCCAAATAAAAATTTTCAGTAAAAATAAACTTAAAAATAAATGATATCACCACCCTCACACGTATGAAAATATAGCACAAAAATAAATTTAGGTGAAGTGGTGAGATCTCACCTCTTTTTTCACCTCTTTTTTTCACCCACTTGAATTCATTGCTTTATAACTCTCTTCCTTGGTTTCTTTTTAGTTGCTTTCTTCATGTCTGTCTCCAACTTGACTGTCTTTCTTCTTCGTCCGTAATGATACCAGTTACTTCCACCAGTCAATGGGTCAAATGGTCTTTCGTAAGGGTTTCCATACATTCCATAGGGACCATACGGAAGAACTACTGGTGGAGAAGAAACATCTTCTTTAGTTCCATCGACTCTATTTAAATGCATTGTTTCACCTTTCAGCTGGTCATTAAAGTCTTTTACGTGTTTTGCAAACTCATCGTCCTTTCCTAAAGCATTTTCTGACTCAGTCGCAACCAAATTGGATGCTTTATTTATGAGCCCTATTTTATTTAATCTTAACTTCTTTGCAACCCAGCCTCCAATCTTCCCTTTATTTGCATCTAATGTCTTCGAAACCCTACCTCCACTCATTTTATTTACTGCGTCATAAGCTCCAAGTGCTTTTGCTCCAAATGCTAATGCTTTTGTTCCCATTGCGCCTAAAGCTGCCCAAGCTACCATTTACACCATATTAAAATCATCTCTCTTCAATATTATCTCATAAAAGTTCTCGTTACTGGAGAAAGTCAATGAAACATAAGCGTTCTCATTCATAAACTTCTTTCTTATCTCATCTATTCTCAATAAAATATCTGAACAATTGCTAACATCTTCTACAACAGTTATTTCATCATGAATGACCTTCAAGAACAAGCTCATTTAATATGCTATTAAAATCATCTCAATAATGAGTCCATCCTTTCCGTCTTTGGGTAGCACAACATCTTTCATTGAAGAAGGTTCGACAAGTCTTATGTTAAACTTACTGACAAAGTTTGTTATACTATAATGCTTTGGCGGCGAATACATGTAGTTTGAAAGACATAATATAGATTCTTCAGCAAATTCACTTATACTGGATTTTATAACAATGTTCTCACGAGACCAAATACCACCAATTGACAATCTTGTAAGCAATCCTGCTGAACCTTCTACTGTAAACGTCGATGGTAACATTCCACGAAGGTCATCTATTGACATCGTTGAGTCACTGTATTTAAATATTTTCTTAAAGCAATCGTCATTATCTAACCATGCAATAGCTTTGAAGTTTTCATTCGAATATACATCTGCTTCATTAAATGTAAAACCTGACTTCTTTGCAGAGACGACTTTAAAATCTATTGCATTTGTTTCAAAATTATATGCTATGGTAACTTCTGAAGGTAATGGATGCCCTTCCGCAGTCAGTTGTTCTCTCACTACCGTTTGAAGCTTTGTATTAAAAACTTTCATGTCATCTCCTGTATCTAAGTTCACATACACAGCAACAGGGAAACTATCTTGCTTCTTTGTTTCATCATTATATCTCAAAACATTAAAGTTCTTCAATAATATTGTTCTTCCTGCTGGAATACTTCGAACCTGTCTGATTTCAATAGCTTTCTCACCTCCTACATACTCTACCCAGTGTCTTGGATATTCATAAGTATACTGACTTTCTTGAATTTTGGTAGGTTTCATCATAACATGTTCATAGTATATCTTTATACTCTTGTCAGTTAGACTCGGTGCTATGTTCTGAATATTTCTGACTTGCATTTTTAATGGAGATAAAATGAAGCATTTAATACATGACGTAGATGAAGACATGAATGAAACTACAGACAAACTTAACTCTTCTCTCATTCTTCCTTTCAGTAAGGACTATGAGTTCTGTTCAAATGGTGTTTATTTCTATTGTGGAAAGATGGGTTCAGGTAAGACATTTAATTTAATTCGTCATATACTCATAACAGAGCGTTTAGGAAACGACTCTTACTATGACCAAATCATTATATCAGCAACTTCAGACTCTATGGATTCAACAGCGAAAACATTTATGTCAAAAGTTCAAGCCTCTGTCGTTAAAGTTCCAGACAGTGAACTCATTGAATTTCTTCAACGTTACATTCGACGTAAGAGGAAATATTATGCCATCGTTGAATTTATACAGTCAGGAATGCAAAAGACTTCTGAGGAGATGGAAAGAATTATTGACAAACACCACTTACGTCAATACTCAGGAGTTTACGATATGAAACGACTTACAAACTACATTCTGTCAAAACTTTCAAAATACCCCTTCAAAAAGTATCCTTCAAACACTCTGCTCGTTTGTGACGACTTCGCCGGAAAAGGTTTAGTGTCAAAACCAGACTCACCATTAGCTAACATCATAACTAAAGTCAGACATTACCACTTAACTGTAGCAATACTTATGCAAACATGGAGGTTTTTAGCTTTAAACATAAAACGTCTCATAACTGACTTCGTTATCTTTCAAGGTTTCTCACGTTATGATATTGAACTCATTTGGAAACAGTCAGGTATAACATTACCTTTTGAAGAAATTTGGGAAGCATATAAGTCTCTCATCTCTCCTCGTTCATACCTTGAGATTCATATCATGACTAATACCATTAAAGTCAAAAATATTCCATGGGAACGACCAACATTGTTTTAAAGTTTAACCTTCAATTGACTGATGGTAAACAAATTCCATGCATCTCTGTCGCCATTTCTGTTAATATTTTTGCTGTCATTCATATCATCCACTTCCCCATCCGTTAGCTTTTGAGGATATGCGTTAGAATAGCTGTTCTTAAATGAAGGCTTTTCACCTTTTAGCGCATAAACTCTATAACTTTCTGCATACTTTATGTTTGAACCTCCTGAGCCATCATTGACATAAATTTTTATAGGCTTCCACCCTTTGTTCATGTTCCTGCTTCTTCCCTTAGCTCTTTTGTTCAGTAGTTCTACATCTTTATACACAGCACCTGTCTCAGTGAATTCAACAATATTTTCATTCGTTAGCTTTACATTCAAACCCTTGTCGAGTATATTGTTCATTTCATACATATAAAAGGTTTTTATTCTATATGAAATGAGAAGCAAATCCATCTTAGCTGGTGCCGTTAATGTTCCAATTGAACCAACATCAAATGTTGACTCACGAACGACAAACAATATTGTCATAAAGAACTATAGTTCAGAGTGTTTGAAAGAAAAAGAACCAGAACTGAAATCCGTGAATTTAAACTCAGCTTCAAACGCTAACGCTACATCAGATGTTAAGTTAGAGTATCCACCACTGGACCAAATTCTTTCAAGAGAAGCCAACGACAACCCTTACATAAATGTTCAAACAAATCCTTCAGATAACGTAGACCATTACCTTCTTCAGTTATACCAAACAATTTTACTCAAAGACGATAAGGAGCTTTTGACAAATCTTATAAGCAAGAACCAAATAATTCTAACAAAGGAGGACCTTGAAAATGTTATCTCACGAATAACAGGGAAACAATGTGTCATTGACTATCTCGACCCTGAAATCGAATGCTGTGGTCAAACTCCAATATTCATGAAAATAGGTAACATCCGCATCATTGAAACACCAGGAACTACAGGAGTTGAGTTTAAGTATAAATATTCGAACGAGTATACAAAACTTTCAACAGAATATAAACTTTGCTTGAAATATGTTTTAGTAAATTAAAGCAATTTGTAATATCTATCCAAAACTTCTTCAACAGTATCGAACTCATCTTCATAATGCAAACCTAATCTTATTGACTTGGTGCAGTTTTCACTAACACAATATAGCGCTTTGCGCTCGGCGCCTTTGACGCCTTTTTCTGTTCTCTTGACTGACATAACTAACTCATTTGTTTCATCAAACAGCAACAACCAAAGTTCATGACCTAATACATAACATTCATACTTTATATTTTTAGCTCTGAGTTCTCTTGTAAGCTGTTGCATTTAATATTTTCTAAAAAGTCAACTTCAACAGTCATTCGCACTGGTGCCTTCAGTTCTACAGGCTCGCCCTGAAAGTCAACAACTCTGAATTGCATGTCTTTCAAATTATGAGGACTAATGCGAACCCATTTACCTAAATGAGTTGCTATGACAGGAACGTTTGGAATGAACATTGAATTGACTGCATAACAGAAAGACTTATATTCTACTGAACCTTTACTATTAACTCCTGAAATGCCTGTGACATTAGCTATTTTAGACTCAATGTATAAACAATTACCATAACATACGTATGGAACAGATTTCATCTCAATCGTTTTGTCAACACTTTTCAAAGGAAATGTCATATGGTATGCTCCAAAAGAAGTTGTACTCTATGACTCATTCGTGTTATCTTGAACTCTTTCTTGCTACTGAACTTCAATGTTCCCTCAGAAGAGAGTTCGACATCTATGTTGTCAATAGTTTCTTCATTTATGAGAGTACCTATGACTCCAGCAATTTTATCTATTCTATACTCTGCTCTGTTAGGAAATGCTATAAAACTTCTTTTGTCATCTATTTCAAACTCCATGAAATCTGTTTCATCTGTTATGACAAAAGTTGCGATAGTATTGAAGTCAACAACTCTGAAAGCAAGCGCTTCATTCTGAAGACCTAAGTTTGTTTGTAGCTTTACTGTCCCGTATTCGTTTGGGTCTGTACTTTGCAAATAGAACAACATTTTATTCTCATTAAAATATGACTATTGCTGCATATGCGTATGAAACAAATGAAGCAAGAAGAGCACATGAACTAGTAAACGAAAACTCAACTTTAACCATTGAAGGCAATGATTTAGTCATTGACGATGGAAAAACTAAAAAAGTCATTGATTTCGATACTTTTAACACTTATGACCCATTCATTACAACAAGCAAGGTTCCCATCATAAATGATGGAACGGTGCAATATATAAATTCTACAGTAGATGCCTCATTAGTGAAAGTATTAAATGTTCTCATTGAATTGTTAAAGAGCTTTCGATTTGACGACAACATTAAATGCCTAAAGAATTTAGTCATGAATGAGAAACAAATTCTCGGCGTTGCTGGTAGCAGTAATGATGTACACCTTATGACATTAGAATATTATAACGAACATAAAGATGAACTGAAAGGAGAGAAGGGTGACACCGGACCACAAGGAATACAAGGAATACAAGGAATACAAGGAATACAAGGACCTCAAGGCGAAAACGGTTTGGATGGAAAGGATGGAAAGGATGGAAAAACTGCTAAATCATGGATATGGGACCTTATAAATACTGGTTTAACAGCTGCTTCATATGGAGTTCTTCAATACCAAATCGGAAAGATATGGGCAGTACTTGGTGAAGAAGCTTTAGATGACGTTAAAAATGCTTTGAACTTCATTTCAAATGGTTCGGATACTATTAAAACTTTATCTGGTTGGATGCAAGAAACAAGGAGTCAAATAGATACTGTAAGACGTATAGCAAACAATGCACGTACGGGATTGGATACTTTACGACAAGCACAAAATACACTAAAGGAAGCAAATGATATTCTTGGCTCAGTATCAGACATGCATGAAGATTGGCTTAAAGGTATTGACAAATCTTTAAAAAATCACAGTCAGTCTATTGCTGACTACAAGAAAAGTATAGATTTTTTACATAGTGCTATGGACGTACATGATGGAAGCATAAGGAACTTACTTAATGCTAACAATAACTTACCAGGAACTATTAAAGCATTTATAAAGTCCTTTGTAAAACCCAGTGCTCTAACATTTAGGTCTTTGAGAGCAAGAGCATTGAAGTCAAGAGATGCAGAAACTCCAACAGAACCTACAGAAGGAACTGAAACAACAGAAACTCCAGAAGAACCACCAAAACCAACAGCTAATGAAATATTGTTCGAATATTTTCCAAGGTACTCTGTTCTCATTGCATACATTCAAGAAATACTTAAGAAAGCAGACTTGACTTTAGGAGATGATGAAAGTTCTGTATATCTTTCGTTCCAGTTTCAAATAGCAGAACTTTTGAGACAGATATGCTTAATGTATGACAACATCTCTGATTTCACAAGATATGATGACGACCATGACCCCGAACACGGTGAAGAAGAAGTTTTACAAACATCCATTAAGACAGGAAAGGTTTTAACACAAAGTCTCATTATTGACACCAAAGATGGCGAAGTGGACGTTCTTCAAGAGCTGAGAAAAATACTTCTTCGGGAGGTGGTGGTAGGCATGAACTTGAAATAAATGAGATAGAAGAGAAATTAGCCGAAAAAGCAGATAAAAACCATGTTCATTATATAAGTTCAGACGAACAGATTATAACGGACTACCATGGATATTTAACACAGGATGAACAAATAAGCACTGAAGATGTTAATGAAAGAAGATATAAATTCATTCGTGCTAAAGGTTATGACATAAGCTGTACTGTAGTACAGTATGACACAGGTAAAGCACCAGAAGCATTTGGTTATAACGATGAAATTTATGCTTCATACTTCTTTGTTAACGGTGTATTAGTTGAACCAAGATTTACATTGAGAGTTAAGGCAAAATAACTTTTGAAGATGCTATTAAAAGTAAAGCTGACAAAGATGAACTTGACGCAACGAACAAAGTTTTGAAATCTCATAAACACAATATCTCCGATATAAATGAACTTCAAGCTACATTAAATAGTAAAGCTGACAAGAACCATACACATGAATCCTTCACTACTGTTAGAGCAGACGACATAATATTGAACTATACCCTTGGTTCAAGTGCACCTTTAGAGAATCCAAGTACAAGCGTAAAAGATACACTAAACTCCTTAAATAGTAAATGTATGAATATCGAAGGTCATGTCAGAAACTTTGAAACACATGAACTACCAGCAATGTTAGATAAAAAAGCAGATAAAGAACATACACATAACTCCTTCTCAACTGTTGCTATAGAAAGTATTGAAGGAACGGTTGGCGGAACTGGTGGGGAGGGCGGAGCCCCGCCGCACGCGGCTGCATTATATTGTAAACCTCCTAACTTTCCACAAGGTTTAACATCGAATGAAAACATAACGACGATGAGAAACATTAGATGTAAAGATGTTTATGTCATGAAGGATGAACATAATATTAAATTCACTGCTCAAGATTTATATGACAAGAAAGCAGACAAAACAGAGCTTCAAACATTAAAGACAGAAATGCTTCAAACATTATATCCTATAGGCTCTATTTATACGTCAATGAACTCAACAAATCCAGCAACAGTTTTAGGTTTTGGTACATGGCAGCAGATTGTAGACAAATTCTTATACTGTGCTAACTCTTCAAAGCAAACAGGAGGTTCGAAGAAAATTACTGAAGCAAACCTTCCACCGCACACTCATACAGGAACTACAAACACAACAGGTAGTCATTCACATTCAATAACAAAAAGAGGTTATACAAATCTTGCAGCAGGTTCGGATAGACAGGGAATGCATAGATATGATATTTCAAGTGACCCAGTAGATTCAAGCGCAGGTATTTTCTGTGGAACCGCAGGAAATCATGCCCATACTTTCACAACAAATCCAACAGGCTTGGGTGCAGATTATATGCCACCATTTGTGACTGTATTTGCATGGTACCGCGTTCAATGAACGCGCTTGAGCCTAGAATAAAATCTTTAACTTTACATAAATGAGCTTGAAAGAAGTATTCGAACAACATCCATGGAGGTCATTTAAGAAGTTCAATGAAGCTGCAAAGAGTTGGGGATTTACTAACAGAGCTGAAGTGAAAAGGTTCTTTGACAAAAATGTTGTACATCAAACAAAAATAAACCCTTACGACTACTTTTTACCAATTTACTCCAACGCTCCTGACGCATACCAATTTGACACTCTCATTCAAAGCAGAAAAGGAGGACATAAACCATTCCTCATCTTCATAAATGTTAACACTCGCAAAGCATATGCATATCCAATGAGGAATAAAGGAACTCGTGAAGTGTTAAGAGTTTTACAAAAGTTTGTAGCAGAACATAGCCCAAGTACTTTAACATCAGACCAAGACAGTGCTTACCTCAGCAATGAAATCACAGATTTTCTCATTAAACATAACATAACTCACTACACTATTGAAGACCATAACCATAACATACTCGGCATCATAAACCGCTTCATAAGAACGCTCAGAGATTTAAACCAAGAGCGAGACTTTACCGAAGAAACAATGAAACATTTTCTCGAAGTATATAATTCCTCAACGCATTCTACAACAGGCCATACACCAAATTCAATGACACAACAACAAGAAGAAAAGTATATACAAAAGAAACGAAGCCAAACACAAAATATCAGAAATTCAACACAATTTACCCTCATTCCTGGAACAAAAGTTCGTGTAGTTCTTGACGACAAACCGTTGACAAAGAAACGTTTAAGGTTAAGTAGAAACTATTATATCGTAGACTCTACGCAAGGTAATGGATATCTTATAAAAGCTGCTGACGACTCCATAGCGTTTTACCCTCGTCATAAATTAGTCGAAAGTAGTAATGGCAAACTTGCTGAAACCATTGACGAAGCAAAGCGAGGAGTGGTTATTGAAATACTTGGCTATAACACAAACGATGACACTTATAAAGTAAGATATGAAGGAGGCGTTGAAGATGTTATACCATCTAAGAACTTGAGAGAGTCGAAGCCAACACATCTGGGACCATTAGAGCGGGAGTACTGGAAAGACAAAAATATGCCAGAAAGAATAAGAAAATTCTTCTAAACTTTTTCATTAGATGTAAATCAGACATGAATGAGAACAGTCATGATATCATTAATGGTACCATTTATTTTTGTCATAAATTTACACCAAAAATATATTTTAGGTGAAGAGGTGCGATCTCACCTCCTTTTTCACCTGTTTTTTCACCTCATGAATTTTCATGAATTTCCTTAAGATAGAAAAATAAAGTTAGTTTTATTTTTATTTATTTTTTTATTTTGTATAAAAGATATGATTTCAACAATCGGCACAACAACAATTCAAGCCACAATCGGCACAACAACAATTCAAACAACAGCACCAAACTCGTTAGTCATGAATCCAACATCTATGTTAGTAGAGATGAAAAGCTTCATTCCTTCTTCATATACTTTCGAAACAAAAATCCAGAAGATAAAGCAAGAACTTTTAACAAATAATTTAGACTGTAGTGCGAAAGATGAAACAAATGAACAGTATCTTTATGAAATGCAGGACCTCATCGACCATTTACCCAAATTGCCTGAAATTCAGCAGCAAAAGCTCACTATTCCTGAATTCGATGAAATAGAAGTCAAAGCAACTGACTCAGTAGAAATAAAGAAGTTCATTCGTAAGGTAAACTATGAGTTTCTAGGATTTCATTGCAACCATAAGGTTATGGACAAAGATTGCGACATAGTATATAAGAATGTTTCTGACATATATAAATCTGAAGAATTTAAGACCTACGACAACTTTGTTTCGTTAGTTGCTGAATGTGTATGGCAGATAAGAGATAAAGATAGAAGAGGCAAAGTATGGAACAAACAAATAAAACCAGCAACTTTTGAGATGAAGAGAGCAATTGACGCTTTAGTTGTTTTAGCAGGTAAGGTTTCAGAATATAACGCAAAAATGAACCCGCAATGTTCTAAATGTAAAGCAGCAATGAGGAAATATAACTACTCCGTCAAAGAGATAGAACGTATGAGAAACGACTATGCAGACTTAAAGAAAGATATGTCAAACAATGAGTTTGAAACAGTTAAAAAGATAGACAATGACACCAAATTGGTTAGAATTGGTGATTTAAACGTAAGATACTCAAAGAAATACAACAAATATTCTTTGTCAGACATTATATCTCCATCTGGAAAGAGACCGCAGGACTGGGTTAAAATTGCTTCTACTCAGAAAATTTTGACAAGAAATCCTGAGCTTATGATATCGGTAAAATTCTATGGAACTGCAGCATATCTTATAGACAAAAGTCTTATACCAATAGTTTTGTTATGGATTGACCCAGTTGTTGGATATAACTTCATAACATATGGTTCATTCGATACGGAACGTTGCAGTGAAGGCTTACTTTACATCGTTCAGAAACCGAAGGACTTCAACACAAAAAGATATAAGATAGGAAGGACATATAATATAACTCTAAGATATGACAGTACAGTCAATAGAGTCAAGGTTGTGTTAGTTAATGATATGAGAGCTGCTGAAACAGAACTACTTGAAAAGTTTGAGAAAATGTATGGTGCTCCCATAAAAGGTAAAGAAACGTTTGAAGTAGATGAGATAGATAAAGCTATAAAATTATTTGACGAAGTTGCTGAAAAATACATGTAAAGCGTTTATTTTTGGTCTTTTGTGAAAGTCAGAAAATAAAGTTAGTTTTATTTTTATTTATTTTTTTATTTTGTATGTAAAGACAGATATGTCAACAACCGAGAACACAACAACAGTTATAGTTCATGAAGCCATAAATGAAGAATATGAGTACATACAGTTTAACAAACAACTCCGTCTCATTCGTTCGGTCAAAGACGATATGTACCAAATGCAAAGTATTTTGACAGCATGTTTTGCACCAGATACTAAACTTCCTAAAGACTGGTTTAGGAACCAAAGCACACAAGAACTTTTGAGCGAAGCACAGCGAGTAGGGAAGAAACCCCAGTCGCCAAAACTCTATGAAAATCGTGAAAAATTGCCAAACGGTTTGAGAGGATATTATGTTCATAGACTTCTCGTAAATGCTGTAGCAATGTGGGCTTCACCTCGTTATGCTTGGTATGTTTGTAAACTTCTTGACGAAATTCACAGACAAGAACGCGAACAGATGGAAAAGAAACTTCAAGCAAAAGACGAAGTCATTGAATCCAAAGACAAAAGCATACAGAAAAGAATACCGCGTTCAGTACCAAAAGGAAAGGAAAAGAGTTATAAGTATATGATATATACTGAAGAGATGGAAAATGAAGAAGACAGAGATATGGTTATGTTGCATTTAGTCAGAAGAAACAACAAAAGCTTTTACGACCTCGCTAAGATATATAAATCTGACAGAAACTGGTTCTATCGTGAAAACTTACCGATTTCAATGACACCGAATGAGCAAATAAAGGAAATTGTCAAAAGTACTCTTCCTCAAACACACTATGACATCAAAGGTTGCACAATACTTACATTCAAAGAAGACTTACCATTACTGAAGGAAAAAATAACAGAGTATTTCGATAACTTCAAAGAGGAAGAATGAAAATCTAAGCTAATTTTATTTTTTTTATAAAATTTTATCTCATATGAAAGAACATGAATTTAGAATATTCGGAACTCATGACAGAAGAAGAGAACGAACAACATGTAAAAGATTATGCAAAATTTCTGAAGACATACAAAGCATTTAAACAATATCTAAATGCTTCTAAAGATTATGCAAAATTTCTGAAGGTATATAAAGCTTATGAAAAAGCGTATGAAAAGTTTATACATTGGGGAATTGTTGTAAAATATCGATATGAATACTAACCAAAAATATATTTTTGCTTAAATAACTTCAGGGTCAATTTCTTCAACCATTTCACTTCCTTCGTCAATGTCAATAGAAGCTTCTTCAACCTTTGGTAGGAGCTTATGTATAACATCTTTGTTCGTTATTGTCTTCAGAGATGAAGGATAATATTTCACATTTGTTTCACCCTTCTTATATTCTTTCTGTTCGGAAAGATTCATAGCAATACTGAAGAAGTCAATATTAGAGTTCTTTATAACAGTATAATGAGTATCTTTGACATTCACGAAGAAACTCTTTTGTTTCAAAACTACTGCTAACTCTTGTGAAGTATAACGTTTGCGGTCAATGACGATAGCTAATGGTCTGACATACTGACCGAACTTAGATTCTTTCACAAACTTCTTGTTAAAGATAACATTAACGTTTGAAGCACCATTGAACTCATTCTTGATGGCATTAGCGAGAGCATTGTATGAAAAGAACTTGCAATCTTGCATGTGTTTCATTATAATAAAAATATTAAATTATTTTGAAAAATAACTTAAAAAAAATCTAATCTAATTTTTTCAAAAATATTTTTTTTATTTCCTACTAAAGATGTATCGGAAGTTGTCTAAGTTAGAACACTCGGAAATAAAACAACTTCTTACAGAAGCTAACATAGATGTTGCAAAGCATTACGCAACAAACAAAAAAGCACTCGCTGACTTCATTAAAGACTATAATGGTGCAATAAGTTATGATAGAATTCATGAGTTCATAAAGCCGCAACGCGGCGAGGACGAAGTCCATGCAAGAGCATTTCCTTTAAATGACGTTGCTATTGACTTATATCATAGACGTTCAGTACCTCATGAAGTAAGAAGAGAAATGTTTGACATAACAAATGCAAACGTTGGTCATACTCGTAAAGCTCTTTCGCATGATGTTCGTCAAGAGATGTTTGACATAACAAATGCAAACGTTGGTCATACTCGTAAAGCTCTTTCGCATGATGTTCGTCAAGAAATGTTTGACATAACAAATGCAAACGTTGGTGAAACAAGAAGAAGAGACGACACACTGAAACAACAGAGAAGAGAGATGTTTAAAAGTGCTATAGAACAAGTTCGCAAAGCTAACGATGTCATTCGTTCCATTGACGACAAACCAAAAGAAGGTGAGAGATGGTTAAAGAAAGATGAAGAGAATAGGAAGAGAAATGTGAAGTCAGGCAATAGACTCATTGACTTTAACATCGAAGCTTTAGATGAACCAAACAGAGACTACTTACACAAACATTTCGGTAAGGTTTTCATGAGACTCTTAGAGAAGATTAAAATAAACTCCCAACAGAGATGGATGGTATGTTATAAACTTGGTGGAAAGTATGAATGTTCTACGTTAAACCTCAATAATATTGGAACATTACTACATCAGCTCTTGAAGGAGAACTTTATATCAGAGATAGAAGCAAATGCTGCAGGTATTGTTGAAATGCACTATGACTTCTTCTTGACAAACATAAAGAATCTTACTGAAATAAAGATGTATGATTTAACAGAATATGAAGGCTTAACGATGTCAGATGTAAAGAAAGGCAAACCAAAAAAGAGACCATATAGAGATGAAAGCACACTGACAAATGACCAGAAAGCCATTTTGGAAGCTCTTAAGCAAACAGGAAACCCAGCACTTATAGAAAGCTTTTGGAAAGATAATGGTGAAAAGAAGTTTTATAAGAAGAGAAGCGGTCAGTTCTGGAAGTATCTTTGCACATTACCTATAAATCTTGAACGCTACCAAATCTTCAATGAACTGAACAAAAGAACTGCAACACTTATGACAGAGACAATTGTTTCGTTTATGCTTGCATTCAGGCTGGAGTAAATGAAGAAACTATTGACCACATGAGAGAAGTCATTCGTGTTAGAGACTTTCCTCAAAGTAAAGTACAAGAAATTTCTGACGCAACAGGTATAGCATTTAATGTTACCATTGGTTATTTCAATGACTCAAGACATAATGAAATAAAGAGATACATACCAAAAGAATGTAAAACTGTTCGAACTATTGACTTACTTCTTGTTGAAGACCACTACATGCTAAACGAAAGATTACCAATGACAACATATTTCATTCGCAACTATATAGAAATCTTGAAGGAGTGTGGTGGAATGAACATTGAGAAACAGATGAAAATATATACAAAGAGAGAGAACAAATATGTAGTTCGTTATGATAGAACTACACCGCTATGGGATGTTATGAAAACATTGTGGGAGTGCAAATATTTCGAACCTATTTCTTATGGAGAACTTTTCACATATACGACTGACTTATATAAACAGAACCTTGCACCATTTAAAGATTTGACATATGCTCCAAAGTATTGTGTACAACTGAAGAAGAAAGCAGAGTCAAAAGAAGTAAATAAAAATAAGTGCAAGTTCATTCCTGAGCATGTTTTCTTTGCTGACTTTGAGTGTAGTACCGATGGCTTTCATAAAGCTTTTAACATATGTTACGACATGAAGATGGTTCAGTGAGTGAAAGCATTTGGGGTCAGAACTGTGCAACAGAATTTTTGGAACGACTTCCTGACAAGAGTTTAATATATTTCCATAACCTCAGTTATGATATAAACTTCATCTTAAGACACATGACAGAAGTGAAAGGAACTCCCATCATTAAAGGTTCACGAACAATGCAAATAACTGGTTTATATAAAGGAAGGGCAATTATTATAAAAGACTCTTACAGTGTTATAAATAAGAAGCTTAAACTATTTCCTGCTATGTTTAACTTACAAACAGGACCGAAAGAAGTATTTCCATATAACTACTACAGCAGTGTTTTTGTTAGCAAATGACAACAAACTGGTGTCATTTCTGAAGCATGTAAGTTTATCCAGGATGCAGATACGTTCATGAAGAACATAGATTCCATCAAAGGTTGCAGAATAGATGAAAACCATTTCGACTTAGAAAAGTATAGTACATTTTATTGCAAACAAGATGTAAGAATTTTAAGAGAAGGTTTTGTTAAGTTCCGCAATGACATATTGAAAGATTTGATTTAAACGTTTATGACTACGTTAGTATTTGTTCTATTGCTAACAAATTTTTGAGAACAGAGTGTACTTCCCGAATGGAAATTTATGACCTCTCAAATAAACCAAGAGAATTTATTTCAGATGCATTCAAGGTGGAAGATGTATGTTGTCAGATAACATTAAACAAAAGAGCAAAAAGAAACTCATTGCTGACTTCGACGCTGTTTCATTATATCCATCCGCTATAGCAAGATTTATACTTTAGAAGGAATTCCAAAGTTATTGAAGGATGAAGATGTTAAGCACAGAGTATCTCATGAGACATTTATTCGATGACGACCAAAAGGAACCCATTGGTGAAAAGTTTATGTCTGGCTTCTTTGTTCTCATTAAGATAACAGAGATTGGAATACATAGACACTTTCCTTTAATAGTTTGTGACCCTGAACTAAATCCAGAACTTAACGTTCCCAGAAGTTCAAACACTTGCTGTCTCATGTATGTTGACCATATAACATTACAAGACCTCATAAAATATCAAGGTGTCAAATGTGAAGTGTTGCAAGGATACTATTACGATGGAAACAGAGATATTAGAATAAGAGATGAAGTAAAGAAGTTGTTTGAGTTAAGGTTAAAGTATAAGAAAGAAGGAAATCCTTTGCAAGAAAATATAAAGCTCATTCTGAACAGTATTTATGGCAAAACTATTCTATCTCCTATTGAGTCAAAAATAACCATAGTAAATGACAAAGATGCTATAAGATATGCCATCAGAAACTACAACCATATAGTGAAGTTCGAAGGTTTGGATGGTTCAGATAAAACTATTTTCAAGCTAACGAAAAGCATTTGCAGACACTTTAACTTTGTCCACTTGGTGTTAATATTCTATCTATGTCGAAGAGAATAATGTGTGAAGTATTCTGTACTGCAGAAGATATGGGTTTGTAATAGCCTATAGCGATACGACGATGCACCTATAATGAAGATACCCTCGCTGAAGAGTTTGAGAAACGTTATGGAAGAGTTCTCATTGGTAAAAACCTTGGTCAATTTCATAGACTTTGCAGAAATAACACCTGGAAAACAAAGTTTAGCATACAAGTCAATATTTTGTGGAAAGAAGACCTACATAGACTTACTCACGAATGATTTAAATGAAGTTGCATTTCACTGCAGAATGAAAGGCGTGAAGCAAGATGTTATTGCTTTAACCGCTAATGAAATGTTTCCTGACTCTGTTCAGTGTTTCTATGATGAAGATAAAGGTTTAATGGTTCCGCAAGGAACATATGACAAAGACTCTGAGTTCAGTGTTATGAAGTTATATAAAGCACTTTATGACGGTCAAGAGATTGGATTTGACTTATGTAAGTCTGCTACACCTGCATTTGAAGAGAAGTTTAACTTTTCTATTCAGACTAAGACTTCTTTCATAAGAAAGCTTAAGTTCTGAGGTCATGAATGAGAAAAATAATGAGGTCATTTATTTTTGTCAGCAATGAGGTCATTCGTGATAAAAATAAGCCCATGTGGTCATTTACAATACTGCGATGGTAGAGTTTAAGAGTTGTGCTTCAATGTAGAGACAGTCCTTATGGTCTGGAGGTAAGAACACTGGACAGTTATGGTCATGAGTGGAGAACATGTCTATCCAAAACTCACGATTGAAGCCAGTTAATTTATAGTATTTAGGGTTAGGAAGTGG